CTCTTGCATGCTGGCTAGTGTCATGGCCCAGCCTGATGCAGTCTACCCCCTGCCCTGACACTCAATGCTGGGTACTGTGGTCAAGCCCTACCATGCAGGTCCCCAAGCCCTAACTTTCATGTGTACTGGTAGATGGTGTTTGAGACCAATAGGCCCAGCTCAGCCTTCCACATGGGCGGGTGTATTGGTCCTGCCCTGATAAGTCCTCCAGTTTTCCTCCTCCAAACCACTTGGTGTCAGTTCCCTCATTTACTTGAAAGTGCAGTAGTCTGGTTGGTGGAAGTCCCCCAGAACTCTTCACCTGTCACAATCTCCCCCAGTAGTCCTCCCTCCCGCACACCTGCAGACTCCCATCCCTGAGCAACTCACAACTCCCCATGCCCACTAGCACGTAGATTCCTAAGCCCAGTCCTCTGGCGGGGTACCGTGCCAGCCTGGGGCTTTGTCTGCCTGCCTGGATCACACATACATTCTGGCCTGGGTTCCTAGCCTCATGCCAATTTTACCCCCTACATATAAAAAAAAACAACAAAAAAACCCCCAAATGAACAAACAAACAAACAAGCAAGCAAAAATAGACAACTATGCTGGCACACTGACATGGCTAACACGAATTTGGCATTAACCAGGCCCAAAATGCCCCCGGCTCTTTTCTGCTTTTCTTCCAGCAACAATGTAACAATGCAATCTAGGTAATTTTTTACTGCTGGGGAATAGTCATTAATTTAAAAAATTCCTTTATCAAAAGGATTTATTGGGCCTGGTGGCGTGGCCTAGCAGCTAAAGTTCTCACCTTGAACGCGCCAGGATCACATATGGGCGCCGGTTCTAATCCCGGCAGCCCCACTTCCCATCCAGCTCCCTGCTTGTGCCCTGGGAAAGCAGTCAAGGACAGCCCAAGGCTTTGGGACCCTGCACCCGTGTGGGAGACCTGGAAGGGGTTCCTGGTTCCTGGCTTTGGATTGGCACAACACTGGCTGTTGCGCTCACTTGGGGAGTGAATCATTGGACTGAAGATCTTCCTCTCTGTCTCTCCTCCTCTCTGTCTATCTGACTTTGTAATAAAAATAAATAAATCTTAAAAAAAGGATTTATTTATTTGAAAGGCTTCATTACAGAGAGAAAGAGAGAGATTGGTAGAGAAAGAGAAAGGGCTCTTCTATTCGCTGGTTTACTCTGCGATGTACAGGGCTGGGTGAAGCCAAAGCCAGGAGCCTGGAACTTTCTATCTGGTGGTAGGGGTACTGTTCCAGGAGCATTAACAGAGAGCTGTATCAGAACTGGAGCTGGTAGGACTTGAACCCACACTCGTACAGGTTGTTGGTGTTGTGGGTGGTAGCTTACCTTGCTGTGCCACAATAGTAACCCCCGATCTTTTATTTCTAGTGTAGGACTCCCTTAAACATTTCTGTATGCTTGCTCTGGCGGTAATGTATTCCCTTAGGGTTTGCTTGTCCGCTGTTTTTGAAGGGTGGATTTCATTCTACTTCCCATCCAGTTCCATGCTTGCAGTCAGAGGCAGCAGTGCAGGATGGTCCAAAGCCTTGGGACCCTGCACCTGCATAGGAGACCCGGAAGAAACTCCTGGGTCTCAGCTTCTGATGATCTCAGTTCTAGCCATTGTGACCATCTGGGGAGTAAACAAGTGGATGGAAAAATCTTTCTCTCTGTCTCTCCTTCTCTCTGCAAATCTGTCTTTCCAGTAAAAACAAACAAATCTTTTAAGAAAGGTCAGAAATGTGGAGTTGTGCAGCGACGTATCAGGCTAATCATCCACTCTGTGGCACCAGCTGCTCCACTCCTGATCCAGTATTCTGCCTATGGGCTGGGAAAGCAGTAGAGGATGGCCCAGTGTCTTGGGTCTCTGCACTCATGTCGATGACCCAGAAACAGCTCCTGGTTCCCATCTTTAGATCAGCTCAGCTCAACAGGTCTTTCTCATTGTGGCTATTTGGAGAGTGAACCACCAGATGGAAGACCTTCTCTCACTATCTCTCCTTCTCTCTGTAATAGCTACCCGGTGTTATTTCTCAAGTATGTTGTGGAACCATATTTGATGCACCTGCTGCAGAGGTGAGGTAGGACCCATGAAGAACAAAGCAGGGTCAGGATCCACACCTTCTGCTGTTACCAAGGGAAGGTACTCTGTCTCTGAACATCCCTACACAAACCTGGGCCTTTGATGGGACTCAGCTGCTCATCCTCAGGAGTCTTTCAGATCCTTTTGGAGCAATCCAGCAGCCCAGAGAAGTTCCATGTCCTCACAAGGCTTTTCTTTATACTCAGCCCTTGTATCCAGTTGGAATTAGTTTTCTGTTGGGGAGATGCGCTTCAGCTTTCCTGGGCCAACAATGCTGGCTACTCCTCCTGGACAGCGACCTGGCTCTGACCACAGCACAGAACTTCTCAGCCAGGACGCTCTCCTGGGAATTTCCCTCACCTTGGACTCAAACCTGAGGCCAGAGAGGCATCAACACTTCAGTCAATCGTGGTGACAGCCGCTTCACCTCAACAGGTCTTTCTTGAACATGAGTAAGCCAGACACATTCTGACTGGGTGTCAACCATCGTGACTGAGACAGGAGCCCTCATCTTCCTCTCGTGAGTATGGTCCTGGGAACTTAGAAATAACACAAGTGCTGGGCATGCTCTAAATCTTTATCACCATGTAGTTGCTTATTCTACATTCAGGAAATATTAGTTGCTTCCCTATTTGATGTCAGCACATACATATTTAATGAGCCCTGTGAATTAAAAATCAGATAGAACTTAACCATCATAGCACTTTCATTTCTGGGAAGATCAGAGTTTAAGCAGGTAATTTACAGAAATTGTGATAAATGTCCCAATTCAGTAAGCTTCAGCCTGATTTCAAAATAGAAACATCTAGGAATTGATCAAAGCCCCAGAAAATTCACAAGAGTGGTTCTGCAGTGCTATTTAATACTCAGTATATTCTTACATGTTGTCAAAGCATTTCACTGTGTGACTAAATTGGAAAACCACCATTAAAACCTGTGTTTGTAGAGAAAACATTCTAAAGACAATCATGCTTGAGCTGGATGGGAATGGTAGGATACAGAGAATGTAGGTAAATGTTTATCACCTAACATTTTAAGGGGAAAAACCCCACGGAGCTCAGGTTTGTGATACATATCAGTTTTCCTGGTGTGATTAATTGCACCATAGTTGACACTGGCTATCAAGCACTTAGCAACTGCCTTGTAAACAACCACCAAGTTTGAAGGACTCCTCTGAACTTGTGCAAACTAACTCCAGAACACCAGAGGGTATGATTTCAGGAGCATGATGTTGCATGCTTTTTGCACACGGTGGTATGGTGATGGATATGTATACATTTGCTTTAGAAGCAAGGCAGGTGAAAGCCATAGAGAAAATGCATCAGTAAAAGTGATGATCCAACAAGCTTCCATTTAAAAGTGAAGTTCCCATTTCCTGAGTAAGGATTCTACTATGTAGGAGGAGCTCTTTGAGCTCCATTATGCTCTCTGGCACCCCCTTACATATATTAAAAATATTTGGTACCAAAATACCTTCATATTGTCTGTGATAATATGTTGGAATAGGATCCAAATCGAGGCACTAACAATCAGGCATCAGCTTGAAAAAAACAATGTGAACTCTACTAAAATTAAATCAGAAACAAACATCAAATTTGTGGTGAGCCTTGGGCAGATGAATCATCGGTACTTTATGAAAAGTACAAAGTGAATGAATAAGTATAGAAAAACAATCCTGAGTTCACTGCTGATTTACTCCTTGACCTGATCTCAGTTCTCTCTTTTCCTTTTTCCTGTTTATTTTAAAACTGGGGAGAGACAATGATGAAAGGAGAAACTTCCCATCTTCTGATTCACTCTCAAAGGCCTGTCATAGTTAGAGCCGAAAACTCAGTCTGGGTCTCTCACATGGGTGGCAGACACCCAATCACTTAAGCCAACATCTGCTGCTTCCCAGACATTGCACTGGAAGGCAGTTGGGATGAGAGGACAGTGTTAGGATTTAACCCTGCACTGTGCTGCTGGATGCGGGCATCCCAAGTGGTACCACTGCCCCAAGCACTTGTCCCCACACGTAATTTAAGTTTGCTCTTGTTCTGACTTAACCTCACTCAGAAAATCGGTTGCCAAAATAAAGACTATACTGTTTACTGGCCCAACATTGGCTCAAGATTATTTCCTTGGGGTCAGAAAAATAATAAAATAATAATCAAATAAATAAAATAGTAATAATAAAATAATAAAACCACTGTCTGTGACTCTGGTATCTGATTTGGGCACCAGTTCGTCTCCGGGCTGCTTTACTTCTGATCCAGTCCCATGCCTAGGAAAAGCGGTGGAGGACAGCCCAAGTCCTTGGGCCCCGCTATGCACTTGGGAGGCCTGTAAGGAGCTCTGGGTTCTGGCTTTGGCCTGGCCTGATTGGCTGACTGGGGAGTGAATCAGCAAGAGAAGAGCTCCATCTCTCTGCAAATCTGATTTTCAAATAAATGAATCTTTTATTGAAAAAAAAAAAGATTATTTCTTTCTCGCTATTTCAATCAAGCAGCAGCACTAAACAAGCAAGCAGGTTACCACTGGTACTTTCTACAGGTGAAAATGGCACTTCGTATTTTATTTTCAGAAACTACTTATTCCCCAAAGCACTACCATATCAAGTCCACATTACTTGCTTTTTTTTTTTTAGTTTTGTTTTGTTTGCTGAGAATGGGGAGATTAAAGTTCAAGCCTGATTTTGGCCACTGCTGACAACCTGAATTTTTACAAAGTAGAAATTTAAACAGCGGTGTTTGTGAGCCATTGGTAATAATCCAATCAGAATGTTTCCCCGCCTGCTTCCTTGGAACTTTGAGGCATCACCGTTCACACAGACCTGTCCGGGTCAGGAGGAGCATTGACTAAGGCCATTTAGTGAAACCACACACTTTCTGTCTTTGCTCTTGATCTGCCTCACGTCCCTGAGCCAGTCCTTGGAAGCACAATGGCCTTCAATGACCTCCTGAAGCAAGCTGGAGGCATGGGGAGATTCCAGATCCTTCAGTTTCTCTTTCTCACAGGCATATTCACTATAACTTTCATTCATGTCCAGATGGAGAACTTCACTGCAGCCATCCCTGGGCATCGTTGCAGAGTTCCCCTCCTAGACAATCACACTGTTTCTAACGACACTGGGATCCTCAGCCAGGACGCTCTCCTGAGAGTCTCCATCCCGCTGGACTCAAACCTGAAGCCAGACAAGTGCCGTCGCTTCACCCAGCCCCAGTGGCAGCTCCTGCAGCACAATGGGACTTTCTCAAACACACACGAGCCAGACACAGAGCCCTGTGTGGATGGCTGGGTGTACGACCGCAGCACCTTCGTCTCCACCATTGTGATGGAGGTAGGTGATCCACCTTCCTCTCTTTGAGTGCCTGGCTGTGATGTCACAAGTGGCACAAATCATGAGCATGCTTCAAGCCTTCAATTGCCATGCGACTGCTTAGTCTTCGTTCTTTCCACGCATGGTAATTGCCTTTCTATTAATTGCTGAACTCCTGTACAAAATAGAGAGAACTCCAGTATCACAGTGCTAGGATTCATGAAGCAGATCGGTCACTCACACGGTGTGTTACAAATGTTAGGCTGAGTCAGTGATCTAAGCCGTGATCTGCAGTTAGAAGCCCCAGGGAACTGAATAGAACCGTGATGCTCATTCAGGTCCCAGGACACAGCATCTCAAGTGAAACTCAGGATTCAAGCTATTCTTAAATGTCCCCAATCAGTTCTCTGTGCGAGCTTTTAACTTTTTTTCTCTTTTAAAAAAAGAAGTGACTATTTTATTTATTTGAAAAGCAGAGTTACAAAGAGAAGGGGAGAGAGGGAGGGAGGAAAAGAGAGACACGAGAGAGAGAGAGAGACTGAGTTTTCCGTCTGCAGATTCCTTCTCCAAATCACCTCAACTCTGAAACTAGGAGACGTGAATTCCATCCGGTTTTCCCATGGAATGACATGGGACCAGGCACTCGGGCTGTCTTCTGGTGCTTTTCCACACATTATCTGGGAGCTAGATTGGAAATGGTGCAGGAGGCAGCTTTAGCGGCACTCTTCCTTAGAGTTTGAGGGCAGACTTTCTGTAGAACGATGCCCAATCTGAGACCTGAATGGTGAAGTGGAGAAGATACGAGTCTGACTTACTGATACTTGCAAGTGAAATCAGGGGTTCTTGATCGGGTTATTCTGAGGGATCCTAAAGTCAGCTGTGCCGGTTCCTTCTCTTACAGTGGGACCTGGTGTGTGAAGCTGAATCAATGAGTTCAATGGTTAGATTCCTACTCATGGCTGGAATGATGTTGGGAAACATCATATTTGGTCGTTTGACAGACAGGTGAGTGTGTGGTTCACTAATGGGTGATTTCATCAGCACGTGAGCCATTCATCCATCGTGAATAATCACTGCACATTATGCTACCTTAGAGCTCCCTGCTGTTCAGGAATCCACAAATACCACTCAGCATTGGCAGCTCACTGTGGTGAGCGCTGCTTGTAAAAGTGTGAGTACAGGACACAGAAATGATAGCTCTGCAATACATGGGTGGGTTTCAATAGAGGCTTATGGAGAGACTGAGAATAGCACACAGAAAGATGAGAAAGAGTTAATTATGGGAATAAAGTGGCAGGTGTTTCAAGTAGTAGCATTCAGCTTATTTGAAGATGCAGATATGGAAATGAGTATTGCTAGCATTGGCCAAGGTCACTGTGCTCTGTTGTTGTTGTTGTTGTTGTTGGTGGTGGTGGTGGTGTGTGTATGTGTGTGTGTGTGTTTGTGTGTGTCTGAAAGAAAGAGAAAGGCAGAGAGCACTTCATTTGCTGGCTCATTCTCCAAATGGCCATTAACACACAGGCTGCGCTGGCTGAAGCCAGGAGTCAGGAATGCCATCTGAGTGATGATAACTCAATTACTTGGTCCATCATCATGGATTTCCAAGACCATTAGAAGGAAGTGGGATCCTAAGTGGAGTAGGCAGGATTCAAATTGTCAGTCTGATGTGTTAAAAAGCAATGGCTTAACATGCTGCGCTATAGCACTGACCAAAGTGTGTTTAGTGCTTCTTGAAGTCAAACACTTGTGGTGTGTTGCTGTTCAAGGTAACACCTGGGGAGTATATAGAAATGTGCCATTGTGGGTGAACTGAAAAACATGCCACTATATGGAATCTTAGTTCTTGCAGTTTTAAAATTAAAAAAAATAATTGTAGGGAAAGATACACCAACTACTGTTGTGACCGTGGTGTCAGAGATTTGGAATATCCTGTGTCTGACAGCACCTCTTCCAAAATAGTCAACTGTTGCCAATGCTAATAACATGTAACTAGAAGGACAGGAAGGAATTAAGGTCCCCCTCTCCATCTTCCAGCATCATGCTGTCTATGGTCTCAGCTGCAGTCTGATACATGTATAACCACAAAAGTGAATGCAATTTTAAAGAGTTGAGAGGAACTATCATTTTAAATAGTTCACTAGCGTTGAATGCCACGAATGCCATGAGAAAAATATAGAAAAATAAATTTTGTTGAGTCATAGTATGGCAGCAGTGGGCGATTTAGAGGGGCATTGTGGGAGATGGTAGTGAAGACCTACATGAATCTGAGTGGCTGCCATGCCCAGGGCAGGATGCCATCCTCAGGGCAGGATGCCATGCCCAGGGCAGGATGCCAGAGCCCGTGGAGCCCTCGATTCACTTCTCCACTACTTCCTGTTGCCAGCTGTTCTCGTCCTCGGACTTCTTCCAACAACTTGTTAGAATTTCTAGATGTGCAGAGACAGGCACAACCTGAATGGATTACCAAGGGATGTTGGAAACTGACACTGAAGTGGCACCCAGATGAAAATCCTGGGAATAAAGCAGAGGCAGAGATAAAATTCAGTCAAATATAGCATGTCAAGAAGTGAAGACACATTGCAATATGCGTCTTTACTCTTAAATAAAAGAAGGACTCCCAATGAGACTGTTAAATATATCTTGACCATAGGATGTTGAACTTTCTACCATTGTCTATACCTGCAATGTCAGAATACACTTCAATAGCAGCATGATGGACTGGGGACTTGTAATATAGGAGAAATTATGAGGGTGGGGGAAAGAAGAATGGGAAGGGTGGAAGGGAAATCTCTAAGCCTGTGGAACTGTGTCATAAAAAATAAAAATATCAGTCAAGTATTTGATGTGTTTTCAGATTAAAAAAAAACATGGCATCCATGACAAATGTGGCAAAGAATGATTAAAGGAGGAGGTGGCTGGGGTCACTGTTACCATCTGAGTTTGGCTTGCTAGTTGTTCAGCTAGGCAGGCATCTGCTGCTATTGAGCTTTTCTGAGAGCCAGTCTGAACTCTTCTTAGACAGGAGACATCCTTAAGAATGCAGTCCTGAGACTACGTCTGTTTATGTCTACCTGCCGTAGACAGGATTTTTTTTAATACAAGTTGTCACTGTGTGTAGATGACGTGATTTTATATGTGAAAAATTCCAAGACTTTGCCCAAAAGCTTTTGAGCTAATAAAGATTCAGCAAAATTGTCTTATAAAAAACCCAGTGTAGCATTGTTATGCATCAATCATAAATTATCAGAAAAGGGAATAAGGAGAGCAATTTCCGGAGTCAACATGATGGTTTATCACGTTAAGCCTGCTGTCTGCAATGTTGGCATCTCAACAGATTGTCGTTCAAGTTCCACCGTTCCACTTCTGACCCAGCTGTCTGCCTGTATGCTTGGGAAAGCACAGGAATACAAGCCAAGTGCTAGGGTTCCTGCCACCCACACAGGAGATCCAGATGGAGTTCCTTGCTCCTAATCCAGCCCAGACTGCTGTGATCATTTGGGGAGGAAAATAGTAGATGAAAAACATCCCTCTTTCAAAAGTAAATAAACCTTAAAAATAATGAAAATAGGACCTGGAGCAATGGTTTAATAGCTAAATCGTCACCTGGCAAGTGCTGGGATACCACATGGGCACCAGCTCGTGTCCCAACTGCTCTAGTTCCCATTCAATTTCCTGCTTATGGCCTGGGAAAGCAGTAGAGGATGGTGCAACATCCTGAGACTTTGCTTTTGTATGACAGTTTTGGAAAAAACTCCTGGATCCTGGATTTGGATTGGTTTAGCTCCAGCTGTTGCAGACATTTGGGGAGTAAATCAATGGATTAAAGATCTTTCTCTGTGTCTCTTCTTCTCTCCATAAATCTGATCTGTCTTTCCATAAAAATAAAATAAATCTTGAAAAAATATTGAAAGCAATCCATTTCTAACAGTTTTTAAAATTTACCTAAGTTTTAACCAAAAAGGTGAAAGATCTCAGTGAAAAGTCATCGATTAAAGAAATTGAGGAAGGCACAAAGAAATGGAACGGCATATCATGTCCATGAATTGAAAGAATCAATATTATTAAAATACATATATTCCACTATTTTCAGTTCTCCTGTCAGATTGGTTGGCTATACAAGCGTGGACTCAATTTTGGGGTTTCTATTTTGTTCCGTTCATCTTCTTTTTCTGTTTATGTACCCATACCAGATCATTTTGATTAACACTGTATTGAGGTGTGGAATTGTTATTCCCTGAACTTTATTCTGTAAGATAGCTTTGGCTCTTTCACGTCTCTTGTGTCTCCAGATGAACTTTCATTTCTTCTTTTCTATTTATGATAAGAGTGTCATGGGGATTTTGATTAGGATCCCATTGGGTCTGCATATTACTTCTGATAATGTGGATATTTTGATGATGTTGATCCAGAAGCATAGTAAATTTCCCCATTTTTTAAAGATTTATTTTATTATTATTTTTTATTAGAAAGGCAGATATACAGAGAGGAGAGACAGAGAGGTAGATCTTCCGTCCAATGATTCACTTTCCAAGCAGCTGCAATGGCTGGAGCTGAGCCAGTACTAAGCCAGGAACCTCTTCTGGGTCTCCCACATGGGTGCAGGGTCCCAAAGCTTTGGGCTGTCCTCGACTGCTTTTCCCAGGCTACAGGCAGGGATCTGGAGGGGAAGTGGGGCTGCCGGGATTAGAACCGGCGCCCATATGGGATCCCGGCGTGTGGAAGGTGAGGACCTTAACTACTACGCCATTGCACCAGGCCCAATTTCCCCATTTTTAAAAATATATTTCTCTATCTCTTTTTTTAAAAATGTTTTTTAAATTTTCATCATAGAGGTCTTCCACATTTTTGGGGAAGTTTACTCCATGGTATTTTTCTTCTTTTCTGTGTTAAAGGTGGGTGTAATTAAGTTCTTTCTCAGCCATGGAGTTATTTGTGTATATTAGGGCTATTAATTCATGTTTATTGATTTTGTATCCTGCTGCATTGACTTATGAGTTTCAATAGTCTTTTTTTTTTTTTTTTTAAGATTTGTTTATTTTATTGGAAAGGCAGAACCACAGAGAGAAGAGGTCTTCCATCTACTGATTCACTGCCCAAATGGCTGCTGTGGCTGGAGCTGAGCTGATCTGAATCCAGCAGGCAGGAGCCAGGAGACTCTTCCTGGTCTCCCATGTTGGTATGTGGTCCCAAGGACTTGAGCCATCCTCTGAAGCTTTCCCAAGCTGTGCATTGGGAATTGGATGGGAAGTCGAGTAGCTGGGACACAAACTGATTCCCATACAGGATCTCAGTGCTTTTAAGGGGAGGATTAGCCAATTGAGACATTGTGCTGGGTTCCAATGGTCTCTTTACTGAATCTTTTCTTCTCCGTTTCATGACCAAACAGGGATAATTTTAATTCCTCATTTCTGATTTTAATTCCTTTAATTTTTTTTTCTTGCCCAGTAGCTATGGTGAGAACTTCTAATACTATGTTGAAGAGCAGTGACAAGAGCAGACATCCTTGTCCAGTTCCAGATCTTAGTGGGAAAGAGTTGAGTCTCCTTCATTCGATACGATGATTGTGCTGTTTTTTCTTTTCATTTATTGCTTTGTTTCTGTTGTAGAATGTTCATTCTATGCCTATTTTGCATAGGATTTTTTTAGCATGTAGTAATGTTGGATTTTATGAAATGTCTTCTCTGCGTTTATTGAAGTGATCATATGGTTTTTATTTTTAAATTTATTGACATGGTGTATCATATTTAATGATTTGCATCTGTTAAACTATCCCTACAGGATTTATCTTTATATAGTTTATATGTTAAACCATCCCTACAGGGACAAATCCCACCTGGTCTGGATGAACAATCTATATGACGTACTACTGGATTTTGTTGGCTGTTATATTGTTGAAGATTTTTGTGTCTATATTCATCAGGGCTATTGGTCTGTAGTTCTTTATTTCTGTTGTGCTTCTATCTGACTTTGATATTAAGGTGGTGCTGGCTTCCTAGAGTTTGGAAGGATTGCCTCCATTTCTATTATTTGGGATAGCTTGTGAATGATTGGCTTAAGTTAGTGAAACATTTGGTAGAATTAAGCAGTGAAACCATCTGTTCTGGGGTTTTCTTTGTTGGGAGGGCTTTGATTACTGATTCAATTTCCATCCTGGTTATAGGGCTATTTAGATTATTAAATTCCTCATGATCAGTTTAGGTATATAGTGTGTCCAAAGTTTATCTAATTCTTGTAGGTTTTCTGATTTGTTGGCTTACAGTTACTTGTACTAGTTGCTGATTATTCTAGGTATGTCTGAGTTATCTGTTGTTATATTTCTTTTTTCTTCTCTGATTCTGTTCATTCATACCTCCCCCCCCCCCCACATTTTTTGATTATTTGGTCTAGTGGAGAATCTATTTTGTTGATTTTCTCAAAGAACCAGCTCTTTGATTTGTTGATCTTATGCATTGTCCTTTTGGTCTCTATTTGGTTTGTTTCCTCCTTTATTTTGGCTATTTCTTTTTTCCTGATAACCTTGGGAATGTTTTGATCTTGTTTTTCTTACCTCCTTCAGGCACATGATTTGCATGTTTAGTTGGTGCTTTTCTTATTTCTGAACATAAGCATTGTTTGAGGTGAACTTTCCTCTGAACACTGCCTTGGTCATGTTCCCTAAGTTTTATTTAAATTTTTGAATTATGTGGTACAATTTTATATAGACTGGGATTCCCTTCCCAAACTCCCACCCCCAAATTTTTCCCCATTTTACCACAATGATATAGTCCTCACAAGGAATCACAATTCCATCATTCTCTTACTTAAGTGCACCCCAACATTGCTGGTACAGACAATGTCAGACAGTCCAGCATCCCATTGTCTACATATTTCCAACAGTTTCTTTGGGAATCCATTTTTTTTGTCTGGAAGCAGGAATGAATGTAGCATTCTACCCCCACATCTGGATATGGTGGACCCCAGCACTCCATTACTATATACATTTCCATATTTGAGAAGCCATGAAACAAGGTCAACAGCTGGTGTGAGTTAGAACAACAACAACCACAACAATGATAAAAACAAATTACAGCACCATGAAAAGATGCACCACTGAGTAACCAACACATGGGTGACAAAAAGGAAGCACAAAAGTCTCTTGGGAAAAATTATTCCATCTGCCAATATGACCCAGCTAACCGCTCCTAGAAATATACCCAATTGAAATGAAATCTGCATATGAGAAGGAGATCCGTAATCCGTAGGTAAAATCTGATTTGTTTTCTTTTGGGGACTCTAGGGTTTCCACCCCATAATTTCTTCATCTGCAAATGATGCATATTGTTGCATCAACTTGATCCAATGTAGATATGCTAGTGGCCCAGACTGATGCGGTTAACACAGGAATGAGGAGGGGAGTGTCCATAATGAGGGCATTCCAGTAATACAAATGATAGCACCTGAATCAAGATAAATATTACTCTTAGCACTACTGGGGTGTGCCCTTAAATCAGAGGAGTTCCTTTAGACTGATAACACAAGTGGGTAGCACCCATCCTCAATTCCAAGGACAAGATAGGCACAGAAGCTGTTTTTGGAGGACAGAAGAACCATACACAGGAAAACCCTGGTTTTCAATCCCAGTGGTGGTAGAGACCCACATGCTCTTTATTTGCAGGGAGGGGGAAGCAGGCGGTCAAAGTACTCTCTTTTCAGTCAGTCTCAGTAAAACAGTGTCACTATAGAAGTAGCTAGTCCAGGAGGAAGACAGTGGCAAGTTTGAAGCTCTCTTGGTACCCACTGTCACGCTCAGCTTCCACCAAAGGCTGCAGCAAAGCCTCCAGCCATGCTAGAAGGGGTGCAGGAGATTGCAGCTCCTCCTTTGGGCAACTACTCTCAATCCCCCAGAAAGAGCTGATCAAGGAGCATGAGGTCTGGGAGGGTACTGCTGCTTGGAGTCTTGGTGGTAGATGGACCCACTTGTGGCTTGTTGGTGGGGAGTGTCAGCTGTTGCTGTGCCTGCTCTCGTTTCCAGCAGTGGTTCCATCTGTCAGAGGCAATGGTGTTGAATGAAAGAGCAGAGATCCTTGGTCTCAGGGGACAAATGCCCTAGACTTTGTACCCCAGGGTGGCACTTGTTGTTGGGGTGCTGAAGTCAGTCAGCCTGAAGGGGATCCAGAGGCCAAGGATGAGGATAGACAGAAGGCTTTGGCTCCTAGGGCAGTAGAGAGGTAGGTAAGACCTCTATCTTAAGATGCCAAGATGTCACTCATCCACCACAGCCTGGCTCTAGAATTTCGTGGTGACATTTCATATGCCTCTGCAAAGTGAAACTGCTATGCTGATTCCGGGTGGCTCTGAAAAGGTGGTTGTAGGCCCACTGGCACAGAGTCTACAGCTAGGTTTTCTGCCATGATGGGGCCCTGTTACGACTTCCTTGTCACACTGCCTGCTGCTTCAGGATCCCTTAGGTGAGGCAGCCAGGCTTATGGTGGCTGATGTGAGAATGGACATGTTCTGTCTTTATGTATCAATACTTCTCCTTTTGACTTTCCAGGTTTCCACCCATTGCTACACCATCATTTCAATAATCAAAGCCATCTTTGCATAGATTTTATTCCTTTTTAGAAAATATTTATTTTTATTTGGAAAGAAAAGTTACACAGAGAGGAGAGGCAGAGAGAGCTCTCCCATTCACTGGTGCACTCTCCAAATGGCTGCAATGATTGGAGCTGAGCTGATTTGAAATGAGGAGCCAAGAGCTTCTTCTGGGTCTCCCATGTGGATGCAGGGGCCCACAGACTTGAACTGTCTTCTTCTGCTTTCCTAGGGTATCAACAGACAGCTGGATCAGAAGTAGCAGCTGGGACTTGAACCAGTGTTTATATGGGATGCTGGAGCCACAGACAGAAGTTTTGCTTGCTACACCAAGGCCTCTACGCAGATTTTATTTAATTGAGACACAAATTTTGAAGTGAGACATATATTGCCATATGAACACTCAGAGTAGAAAGTATTTAGTAGTTCTGTCATGTGAATGTGCTCAGAGAGCAGGCATGATAGCAGAGCAGGTATTCTATCTCAATGTTTGCCAAACAAAAAATTAGTTATAAATTATGTAGAATTGGCCCAGGGTGTTTTATATTGCTGCTTATACAAAAGTCCCCTTTGCTAGAAACCCTTGGGACAGAATTCTTCCTCCATTCACGTTTTAATTTTCCTCTTTTCTGCTCCTCCACACTCACCTTAATGCTTTCCTCTTCAAACTGTCTTTAAACTTCTTTGGACAATGTGGACAGTGTGTAATCTGTTCTAAAGGAAACCCATTACCAAAGGTCTACAACCTATGACTCAGCACACAGAGGCTGTTGTGAGGCTCATCAGCTAATCTGCTGGGGCATTGCTCTATGGATTTTGTTTTCACACAAGTTTTGCCATGGTCTGTATTATGCAAGAGTCCCAAGTGCAGACTTAGATCCTGCGTTGTTTAACCAGGGATGCCATATTAAAACGCCATACTCCGTGGCTTACACAACAGAAATTGACTTTCCTGCAGTTATGGAGGCAGGGGAGTTCAGGATCAAAGTCCTGGACAAGTTGGTTTATACTGAAAGGCTCTCTTCTTTGGCTTGTAGCCAGTTGCCTTCTCCCTGTGTCATTAAGGAGGTGAGTGAGACAGAACAAGAGAGCTCTTGGGAGTCTTTTTCTTATATGGACAATAATCCCACATGCGGGACATAGCTCAGGCCCTCATTATCTTCTAAGGCTGATTTCTGAACATGTAAATGTTGGCAGAGCACAATTCCTTCCACATATGTACCAAGACAATGCATAGGCTTTCTTCCTGTTAAATATATAATGTTGTACAAGGGAACTTTATAATGGGTTAAATGTCTCTATAATGCAGCTGGCCTTATATGGCTTCAACTGGGGTCAAATCTATTGGTGAGGGACTGGAAAACAATCTTCAATACCAGTAGCCATTGTTTACCAACAAGGGTTGGTTACTTCTGAGGTCTGCTATTGATAAAATGCGGGTGTTTTACTGTTAACACATCCATTACATTTAAAAAGTGTGCTTTGTTTTTGATATTTTTTGCAAGCTACCATTCCCATTCTCTAATCTGTCCCCATTTCTCAGGTTTGGGAGGAAGTTAGTGCTCACATGGTGTCTCCTCCAGATGGCCATCGCTGATACCTGTGCAGCTTTTGCTCCCAGCTTCCTCATTTACTGCTTACTGCGCTTCCTGACTGGGATGTCTGCTACGACCGTCATGGGAAATATTGTTATGCTTAGTAAGCCAACACTTTGGATCTTGGGCATTTTCCAAGGCCTTGACTTTGGCCTTGAAACTGAATCTTTGTATGAAGTGAAAATCCTCCTCTTTGTGTTTTCTTTCAGTTATAGAGTGGACATTGCCCCAGTTCCAAGCCCTGGGAATGACATGTGTGAGTTCCGCTAGTAACCTTGGACAGGCAGCCCTGGGAGGCATAGCTTATGCTATTCGGGACTGGCAGATACTCCAGCTGATATTTTCGGTGCCATTTTTTGTCTTTTTTGTATGCTCAAGGTATAAACTTCCTCTCTTCTTTTTTTTTTTTTTAAAGGCTTTTGAGGTGCAAGGCACATGGCAGCAGGAACCATGGACTCTACTGGGCAACACTTGATCCAACACTTGTTCTGCTCATCTGTGCCCCATGCACACTTTGAGGAGCACAACTAGGTTGCCTGATCATATTAAGAACATGCAATTAAAGTATAAATTCAAATCGTCAAGAAACATTTTTCTACTTGAGAGGGTTGGGACTGGTGCTCCTACCCTCTGCTTCACTCCCCACATGTCCTGAGCCAGGACAAAAACTAGGAGCCAAGAGTCAGAAATTAATCCAGGTTTGCCATGTAAATGTCAGGGGTCAGATTACCTGAACCATCATAGGCTGCTATTCAGGGTATGCATTAACAAGAATCAAGAATCAGAGTCAGAGTCAGAGTCAGGCACCCTGAGGTGGAATGTGTCTGAATCAGCTTAACAGACTAAACACCTACCCAATACCAAATAAGTTTTATGTAATAATTTGTGTATTATGTGATTTTTGGGTGCCTTAGTTACTCTCCTTTGTGATTATGAAGCTTATGCTTGAGAGTTTTATTTTTCCTTTGCTTATTGGATAAAATATACTATTAAAATTTTGACATAAATGTCACCAAAAGATTGCATAAGGCACAATAAAGACCTTTTCACTGTATATCTGTGAAATTTTTAAAGACTTTTTCACTGCATATGTTATGAAACATAAAATTTCATAAGGCATAGCATACTTGTGTTTGCTGAGACCAACAGCTGTCCTGAATAAAGGAAGAGCAATATTACTCCTGGTCTGCATTCCCTGCCATTAAGGTGTACTACATGGTGAGGTCGTCCTTGCATTTTCCTAGTAATGGTGCAAGAAATTGCAAGATTATATTCCCTGGATAAACAAATGATGGGAATTAGGATAGGAAAGAAATGTTGGGTTCTATGAATGAGAGTTGACTGTGCACTTTTTTTCCTTTGATCAGGTGGATTGCAGAGTCTTCTCGGTGGTTGATTGTTGTCAACAAACCTGAGAAGGCCCTAAAGCAACTCAAGAAAGCAGCACATAGAAATGGGATAAAGAACGTGGGAGACACCCTAACTATGGAGGTAAACAGGGAAGGGGGCTGGCTATGGGATTCAAGAAGAACATAGCCTGATGTATGCACTTGGTAATGTTTATTGGGTAAATAAAGGGTGGGAGCATAGGGTCTGGCATGGATCTATTTCACTTCACTGTGTCAGCCTTCAGAAGATATAAATATTCACCATTTCACTATTGAACAGTCAGTGAAAGAGAGCGTGCTGTTCAGATATTGGGTTAAGATATTGTATTCAACAGAGGTAGAAGGTAATTATTATTAATAGTTGTAGTGATTGTGCATCAATCTCATTTTACCTGGGAAAAAGCAACAAGAACAAATCCGTACTTTCATGTTTATCACACTTGGGCCTTTTCTTTCCACAGGGAAATAAGGCCCTTAGAAGGAAGGGTTGGTAACATGCAAAGTAGAGGTTAACATATTTTTTTTTTTGTTTGTTTGGTCACATCATCTGTCCATCAAGAGGTATTTGCTGAGCATGTTGCTGTGTCAGGTTCTGCACGACTCGAACATATGGCAGTGACCACTGTGGTCCCAACCCGTGTTTTGTGGTGTTTGAATTATTCTACTTGTATGTTTCTAAGGCATGGCTGAGTGACAATGACTCAGAGAAGTCTTTTCTATTTTTCTATTCAGAGTTCAGAAAGAAAAATATCACTAAGGACCTTAAAAAAACTCATTTATCATGTACTATACATATAAATCATGTGTTGAAAAATATTGTGCTGAGCAGGGTGTTTAGGAATTACAGTGGAAGCCATAGTCCTGGGTTTTAAGAAACATCCACAGAAACAGGGAATCTCTGGTTTGGTTCTTGCATCGCTGAAACACAGCAATCATTGGATGGCAATTTCCTATTCACCTCTTCCTCTGTAATCATTGTCACGGTGTGATTCCCTGAGCGTCACTCTTAGATACCTCATGATGAAGAGATGAGGCATCTTGAAAAGAACAAAGCAACACATTCTCAGCAGTGTAAGAGTCCACATGTATTGCATTGGATCTCTCTTCCTTGTGGACTTTTTCTCCACTTGGCTTTATGGCATTCTTTCATTTGTAGAAGTTAGTAGTATTTGGAGAATATTGATAGTATCTGAGCAGTTAATAAATTATCAAATACCTGGGATGTGAAGGACATCATTTTATAATCGTGTACGTGACCTTGTGTGTGTGGCATAGGAAAATCTTAGAAGACAAATGTTATTTTTTCTCTTTCTCTTACATTTAACCTTATTATTTTTCAGAATTATTTTAGGTCATCAGTCTGTTTATAGATATGTCTACCCCAAATTCCTTGATTTCACTCTGGTCATCTCATTCACAGAGACACAGCCTGCTAGGCTTTCCCTCAGAGGCCAAGAGAAAAGCTAAACAAACTCTCAGGAAGTTTTTTCTTGGAGATATTTTTTCCTACAATGAGCAGTCAGCTGAGAACTAACTCCAGGGATCACCTCTCTAGTCCTCTGTCGTGAAAGGAGCTTTGAACACTGATCCAACTGACTCTACACTTACTTTCTATCCAAGCCTCCAGTGTTTTCAAAATCCTGAAGCCCTCTTGCTGTATTTGAGATATCCTTGTCTATGCGTAATTATCCCAAGATTCCTTCTGCTTTTGATCACTTTTGCACTCATCAATGCTTCTTTCACACCTTTATTTCCCACCAAGAGCAAGAGAGGTCATTAATACCGTCTGCAGCGGGTGCTTAGTGCTCCTTCAGGGGTCATCACTGAGCCGTCTGTCGTTGCTTTGGAAGGTTGTGAGGTCCACCATGAAGGAGGAGCTGGCAGCCGCACAGATAAAGCTTTCTCTATGGGACTTGTTCCGCACATCCATCATGCGGAAACGTATCTTCTGCTTGTGTTTTGTGAGGTAAGTTTCACACGGTGCAGGAGGAACACAAGCCAGGGAGACCTGAGCCTGGGATGTAAAAGGGCCATGTGCTTGGCGGAGCGGGCAGATGTGGGGAGAAAAGATGAGAACAGATGAGACCTCTTATATGTTTGAAAGCAATTGAAAGAAGCACAACACGATTGGGAAGCTTTTTATTCTACATCTCCTACCACGGCCATCACTACCCAGGAGGGTGATTTTCAAAACAGCAAAGATTTTGCCGTAAGTATAATTTTTGGTGTGTTGGCTTTTAGTAAGGATAAAAGGACAAACAATGGCACCTGGCGCGGTAGCCTAGTGGCTAAAATCCTTGCCATGCTCGTGCTGGGATCTCAAATGGGTGCCAGTTTGTGTCCCAACGGCCCCACTTCCCATCCAGCTCCCTGCTTGTGGCCTGGGAAAGCAGTCGAGGACGGCCCAAAGCCTTGGGACCCTGCACCCGTGTGGGAGACCCAGAGGAGGCTCCTGGCTCCTGATTCCTGGCTTCAGATCATTTTACCACTGGCCATTGAGGCCACTCAGGCAATGAATCAATGGATGAATCTTTCTCTCTGTCTCTCCTCCTCTCTGTGTGTCTGACTCTCCATAAAAATAAATATATGTGTTTTTAAGTACAAGCAATAAAGATCACAAATGTATATTGCCCAAGCTAACATGTCCATCAGCTCACATGGTTATTGTGATGCATGTCTTTGTGATAAGAGCATGTAAGATGCATTCTCTTAGCAAAAATCCTGAATCAGATACAGTGCTGCTAGCCATCATCTGTCAAAGTGTCATGTCACGCTTCTAAGCAAGTTTAACAAAAATATGGTCTGCACATGATGGAGAGTGAATGCCTAAGCAGCACTTAATTCAAAATATTGAAAAATTGCAGATAATTCTATCAGCTAGGATCTCATGGCCCACCTAATAAGAAAAAAGCTTAAAAACAAAAGGTGTTTTAGCATAATTTTAAAACAAATGTCACATAAAGTATTTTCTGTTAAAAAAAAGTCACAGGTTTATGCCCTAACATCCATGACTGACTGACTAGACCAATAGTGTCCTATTTGTGGCTCTAGGTTCCACCCCCGACACCATGTATCTTTTTTGGTTCCTCACAGATTTGCCAACTCCACGGTGTTTTATGGCCTGAGTCTCAACATTCATCACTTGGGGAACAATATCTTCTTGATACAGGGTCTCTTTGGATTAATCAACATCTTGGCCAATTTCGTTGCCCTTTTGGTTATGAATCACATAGGCCGTCGAATAAGCCAAGCGGTGCTCTTGTTTCTCACGGGGATCTGCATTGCTTCTGTTACGTTTGTACCTGATGGTAAGGAAAGAGGCCACGTGGAAGGAAGGAGATTATCTCACCCTTTTCCTCAGCTATTCCACTGATCACACTTATCCAGAGTCTGGAGAAAAAGAATTGGGTCGTACGGTTCTCAAAAGCCATCTGTGATTGTAGGGCACAGTCTGTCATTCAGTTGCTGGGAACAGTCCGTGGTTGGCAAAGCTCAGTGTGAACAAGTGGTTGTCTTCATCACATCCAAGAAACATCTGGAAATTGGTGCCACTGATTCCTGCTACTTTCTTGAGCACATCCATTTCTCACTTGCCCCTGGGCCAATCAAACTTGTCATTATGTGTGACGATGTTGCATACTCTGAGGAAACAATATTGTCACTACCTCCACCTGAGCTCTTTTCTCTTGCTAAGCCTCAGGGACAGAATCCACGACTCACAGTTGTGTGTCAGGGCACCATAACTGCAGCCTTGGCTTAGCAGTGTCTTCTTGACTTCAAGGAATTAAAGGTCCTTTCTTTTTATGCTGGGTGTAAATGTCCAGTAGGAACAAGGTATGGAGAGGAAGGCAGTTTAAGCAGACCTTCATACTTCCCTGGCTCTCCTGTTCCCAGTCCCTCGTTCCCTCCCTCCCGTCCCTTTCTTCAACAATATTTGCAGAGTCATAGTTTAGTTCAGTCTCGTCACGGGCTCAATGTCTGTGTTTGGTGTTTTGGGGACAGTGATTCTTTCCACTGTGTTTATTTTTGTTTTTAAGTATTCCTGGTCTTTTTCTCCAGAAATGGAGACCCTGCGTGTGACACTGTCTACTTTTGGAGAAGGAGTCAGCGTGGCAGCGATCCTCTGCTCTGTTACCCATGCAAACGAACTGATTCCCACTTCATTCAGGTATAAAATCTCAGGGATACTCAAGGAGGCCAACATGGATTTTTCTAACTCCTTGAGACTTACACAATAATGTAGAAAAGTTATGTAGACAGCAATTCCGATAGGCACATTGCAGTACTTTTAAAGGGGGGCAAATGTAATGTATTATATAGATCAAATTCTAAGACTTTCTTTTCCTTATTTTTTGAGATACATTTTCAATTTATATTGTAGTGAAAGGCTTAGTGCTTCATTATGTAAAGAGTCCAACAAACACAAAGTAAAAACAGTACTGTTTGGTTTGAATACAGACAGGCTATAGACAATATTGAAATAAAAATGTCAGTATCAGTCATGCAAAGTTTTTCTGCAGTTTTTATTCCTCTCTGCTCACTACCACAAATAAGAGAAAACTTTTTTTTAAAAAAGATTTATTTTTATTATTTTCTTATTGGAAAGGCGGATATACAGAGGGGAGAGAGAGAGAGCAAGATCTTCCATCCGATGATTCACTCCCCAAGTGAGCGCAATGGCCGGTGCTGTGCCGATCCGAAGCCAGGAGACTCCTCCGGGTCTCCTGCGTGGGTGCAGGGGCCCAAAGCTTTGGGCTGTCCTGGACTGCTTTCCCGGGCCACAGGCAGGGAGCTGGATGGGAAGCGGGGCTGCCGGGATAGAACCGGCGCCCATATGGGATCCTGGGCATGCAAGGCGAGGACCTTAACCACTTGTGCCACCGCGCTGGGCCCAGAGAAAACCTTTGATATTTGTCTAACTTCAAGCATGATGATCTCCAGTTGCATCCATTTTGTTGCAAAAGTCACAAATTCCTGCTTTTTTTTTTATGACTGAGCAGTATATTCTGGGACATGAGCTGGTGTCCATGTCGGATTATGGCACCACAGGGAGAGGATTAGCTTGATATGCCACTTTGCCAGTCTCATATCCTGAATATTTTGTCATGTGTCCATTGGCCATTTGTATTTCATTATTTAAAAAATGACTACAAGAGTATTTTGAAATTACTGAAAATGTGTTTGGTGTTCTTGAAAATATTTGCTATTGAATAATAGAGTTTATTTAAAATGCAAGATTATAGCGTGAGCAGCTTGCATCGCATCTTCCATAATAAAAGAAAAATACTGAATCATGACATGTACATATGCATTTGTGTTGTTTGCATCCAAAGGGCAACAGCTTCAGGAATAATTGCGATTGCTGGTAACACTGGGGCTGCCCTGTCTCCCTTGGTGATGATTCTAAGAACATATTTTGAACCGTTGCCTTGGATCATCTATGGAATCATATCCATCCTCTCGGGCCTCACTGTCCTCCTTCTTCCTGAAACCAGAAACAAGCCTCTGCCCGACTACATCCAGGATTTGGAGAATGAGTGAGTGAACCCACTCACTACCTGTTCTGCCTCTGTGCCACAGATTTGAGACAAGAACAACAAACACCAGGCTGGGCTGCTGTTCTGGCACAGCCTTGGACCGGGGCCTGTGAACCTGGCTTCTTTTCATGTGACCCATGGCATTGGCTTAGGATAGCATCACTGCATCTCCCACTGACCTCCATCATCCACAGGGGCTCTCTGATCCTCTAGGCCAGGACTGGCCAGTTTGCCCCTGTAGGACTAGTGGTGAGGAGCCCAAAATAAGGGTTCTTCTGTGGTGTCTGTGTTGATGGGATGCATACATTCCTGAAGGTATTTAAAAATCATGTCCCAAATCTAATGCTGCATCTCAACCCCTAGACACTGACTGTCCACAGCTCAGAAATTATTATAAGCTGTCTGGAACTACAGAGTCTGCAGTTTGCTGAGCAAATGAGGGGAGAGTACATGCGGGATTAGGACTTCTACTACAAATGACACTACTATGGAGAGCAGCTGTTGTGTTGCCTGGAAGAGTCCTTCCTTCTGGATTTCATTAGGAGGACGCGTTCAATAAAGACAGGAAAAACATGGCAAATAAGATAAAAGACTTTGCAAATGATTATGAATTGGTTAGGACCGTCAATGTTTTGTGGGCTTCCCTGTTACGTCCAAGGAGGTCACTGAAGAATGGCAGGATGTCTGAAGGCCAGAGGATAGGAATGGTCAGATCTGCTTTCCCAGCCCCTTTCAGAGAATTCCTTAAATCTTTAGGCAGGGGTGGTGGTTTCTGCCAAAGCTTGTGGGTGAAGGATGAGGGTGCTTGAGGGAGCTGCCATCTCCATGGACTTCCACGGCTTGTTTATTTGCTTGTGGTTTTGATTGTGTCTCTCCCAGGAAAACGACCTCAAGGAAAGCACATGGGGAAGACACCACAGACAAGGTGACACGGCTTTAAGGAACTGCGGCAACTGATGGCTCACAACAGTGCAAGAGATGCCGAGAATGCTTCGATGAGCCACCCCGGGAGAAGCGATACGTTCCTGCAGCAGGAAAGCAAGGACTTAATTTACAGTTGTTTTACCAAGTTACTAATATAAATTACCAATAATTAATCACTGTAAGAAGTTGAAAAGGAATCATGATTTCGATTTCATGTTAGGCCACACAGTTGCCCACAGCCCTAACTTAATTTATGAGAGAAGATACTGATTTTTTTTTATTGGTTGTTTCCCATAAGTATAGTTGTTGATGTTGTATCTTATTACATGCATTTTTTTGTTTGTTTTACTGAAATTATGTAAAATTATACATTTTTTTTCCTAAGGAAAAAGATCAAATAAACAAAAATTGAAGCATCAAAATAATCTTTTTTTTTTCCTGTTTCACAATACAGTTTTTTTTTAACTTTGTTTTAAATTATTGTCATCATTCTATGGTATAGTTCCATAGGCCTTGGGATTTTTCCTGCCCTATTCCCAAATATCCTTATCTCACTACTGAATTCTCCTATATTATTACTATAGCATAGCTATTCATAAACAGTCACATGCTCATCATTGCGGACATGGGCAATGGCAGAGAGTCCAGCATCCTATTGTCAAGATAAAACTAATAGTTTCATTAGTAGTCCATCTTTGATCTGGAAGTAGGGATGAACACTGCACTGCATCCTCACATCTGGACATGATAGTCTCCATCACACAGCACACATAACCTTAAATGAAAAGCCACAATATGAAATCAACAACAGGAAGAAAAAAAGAAATTTACAATGCCATGAATTTCTCAAGAGGTTTTGATAGTTCAACAGTCCTGAATAGCTGGCAATCCTTCCACTCCAATCACAATGAAATCTCTCCAAATAAGTTCAACGGCTTCTTGTGGAGACCATCTCGCCTAAAAAACTGTGTCATATAATGCAATGTAATAAAAAAATAAATAAATAAAATGAAATTTAAAAAAAAAAAAAAGAAATCTCTCCAAAATGCACTGGCTGCTATAGGCCACCTAAGGTCTCTGTCTGCCCAGATCTTCACTGCCAATGCTTGGCTGGTTAATTGATCAATTTGTTCTGTCCTCCGTCCTCTGCCATGGTACCAGCTGTCCTCTGGAGACTCCAATGTACTGCCATATCCTCCATGTACATTTGAATATGATGTCCACTGCTCCATCTAAGTCACTGAGGAGGCCTGGCTCTGACACATGCGCTCCACAGTCAGACCATGGAACCTGCAATTCTTTCCATGGTTGGGGTTTTGAGCTCAGTGGTTCAGTTCAGGGAGTCACCAAAGAAACCTCACCTGGGGCCATCTCAGACCTGATTCTTATGTGTGTTTGTCAATCTGTCACCCAAATCAGCCTACGCACACACTGGTAGTTACATTTGCTGGGTCAGTTCTGTCTCCAGCCCTGTGTTTTATGAAAACCAATGGGTTTTGGAACCCAGCATGATCCTGTCCACCACATACTTGGCCTTCACACAAACTAGTGGGAGCTGCAGCCTAGTTGTAGTGACCTGCAATAACCCCCAACAGGCCCGCATGCTTCACTGGTTCCTGTGCTTGCCAGTATGTACAGCAGACTGGTCCCATCTGTCCCACATCCCAGTCAGCTCTGGTACATGTTAATGGGAATTGGAGCCCAGTTCATCCCAACCAGCCCCACTATCCAGTCCACACTAGTGCCAGCAGGTGCCACTATCTGTCTAAGCCATGCCTTCCCTGACAGAATTTGGCCCCTATGGCAGCATCTGCCAGCTGATGCTGCAACAAAGCCCAACCAACACATACCCACACTGGCTTATGCATGTGCTAGAAGGTATAGTCAGCCCAGCCTGGCTTTTCCCTGATCCAGGTCACATGTACCCCATAGATGTTATGGCCTTGCCATCCTGGTCTGCCTCCATCCCAGCTCTCATGCTCACCAGTGACCCAGTAGGGGGAGCCCTCGCAGCACCCCCACCCCACTGGGTCTGTGCCCACACTGCCACCCCGGGTTTCACAAGTGCTGGTTGGGTGCTGTGGCCCAGTCTGGCACAGACCGTCTCAACTCAGCATTTGCCAATGGGTGTTTGTAGCCTGGTTGGGCGAGCCCACCTTCAATTCCAACTCTTGCTGGTGGGGAACTATAGCCTAGCCCTGCACTGCCAGCCCCAAGTCCCTGCCCTTATGTGGACTGGCTGGTATTGCGCACTGACCTGGACCAACCAACACTCCATTCTGGCACTTGGATTTGCAAGCAGCTGACATGGATTGACCCAGCCTGGCCTGCCCCCGACCTGCACCAAATGTACGCCAATGGGTACCGTATTTTGACCTGGTCTGGGCTGCTTCCTATCTTGGTTCTTGCACTCACCTGTGGGGAATGTGTCTCAACAGAGGAATTACCTAAGCTCCTCCATCTGGATCTCTCCCAGTGCCAAATCTCACAAACAGTGGGTCCATGGGCCAGCGCTACTTAGTCCACGTCCTGTCCCACAGGAACAGTGGCCTTCTCTGACCAGCCCTCATCCATTCCAGTTCTTGTTGTTGGGTGCTACAGCCCAGCCAAGCCTTTTCCACAACCAGACACAGCTCACGCATGGCTTAGCAGGGGCAAAGACCTAGCCTAGCTCATCCTACATCTACCCTGGTTCTCATGAGCACCAGTGGGTGCTGGAGTTCAGCCCAATCTGGCACATCCCAAACCCAGCCCACACACATGCTGAGGGACACTGCAGCCATATCCAGACCAGACTGCAGCCCCGACCCTGGCCCTTGTGCTCACCAATGGGGATTACAATCAGGTCAGGGCATCCCCTTTGCTCCCAAACCACTCCTGTTCCCATCCATAGATCTCATGTATGCCAGTGATTCTTCTGAACTGGCCTGGCAGAATCCTCATCTGTCAGCCTTTGCCTTTGGATGTTGCATGCTGGCCTGACCTAGTCAGTCTCTAGGCCCTACTCTCACTGGCAGGTGCTGCAACCTGGTACTGCTCAATCTGCTCCCATCCCTGGCTCATGTGAACAAGTAGGTGTGATACTCCAGCCCATCATCACCTGCACGCCAGCCTGGTTTCTGCACTTGCCAGTTGGCTAAGGTCTGCTCGGCCCTGCCCAGTCCACTCCCTTCCAAATCCTACCCACAAACTTGCCAATAGATGAGACTACCTTGCCCAGCATGCTCAACCTGTAGGTTTGGAACATGTGCTCACCAGTGGGAGCTATGGTCCCATAAGGTAGTTTACCAGGTTTTCCCTCTCAGCCCACTCCCAGATCTCACATGCTCCAGCAGGTGCTAGGCCCTTAACCGGCACAGCCTGCCCCTCCATCTTGGTCTTTGTGTGAGCTGGTGGATGTTGCAGGCTGGCCCACCCCACACCTTGTTTTAGTATGCACATGCAGGTGTTGCAGCTTGGACCTGCACAGCCTCTTCTCAGCCCCAGCATTTATGAATGTTGGCAGGTTCCATGTTCACACCTAGTTCAGCCCGTCACCAATTGTTGAGCTAAGCAGCAGGACTTGTATTTCCACAGGGTTGGGCCCACTTATCCCACACAGAATCTACCCCTGGACCTGGTTCTCTCACATGCTAGTAGTGTTATGGCCTTGCCTAATGTGGCCTGTCCCCTGATTCGACTCCTCAATCAGGTACTGGGATCTAGCTCTGCTAGACAGGCCCCAGTCATGCCTTTCATGTGGTCTGGCATGTGTGGTCAGTGATGCTCTGTACTAATAAGCCCATCTCAGGACTCCCATGTGGGGTGGTGAATGAGTCTGACCCATGCAAATCTTCCAGTCACTCCCCTCTATACCACCAGGTCTCAGTTCCCCCACTTAGTACAGTGCCCCTGTTGATAGGCATCCCTCAGGATTTATTCCTCACTTACACATATGGAGTCTGTATCCATGGATATCCCTAGGCAATAATTCGTCACACCCAAGACCCCAGAGCTCATAGGCAGGCAGCCAGCAGGCAAAGCCCGGCCCCCAGTGGGTGCACTGGCCATCTGAGTTAAGATGCTGCTGACTGCTTTTGA